ACAGAACCTCAAAATGAAATTAACAGGAAAAAGGAAGGAGGAGGAGGAAGAGGAGGGGGAGGGGGGGAGGAGGAGGAGTAAAGATGTAATGTCATGCCTTCACAGTAATGCACCTACTTCCAACCTCCAAATCCGGTGGCATAATATTACCACTGCTGCTTGTCTGCCCAATATGGAATATCCATACTCCATTAACACCAACATTGGACCATCTGAAAATCAGAAGCAGCTTATTACATGCTGTTTTGGATAAGTTTCTATGATGTGCTCTGGATATAAACAAAGAAAAAGATACCACAGTACAATTCAGTCAAGCTATACACACATAAATTCTTTGTCATCTGTTCGTATATCTACCATGAAGATGCTTCTTTACAGGTGAACAGTCTGTCAGTTTGGAGAGATGTTCCAAATAGAAGAAATATATAAATCCCACCAAAACATGTTGATAGCTCAACTTAAAACTGTTTTAGGTAGTCATGTGGCTTGTATACTGATGTGGTAATAAACTAAAGAGTACAATATCAAATATTATTGGGTTAAAAATATTAAATGTGTTATTCAGCTTTATTATATATCACCTGACTATCATTTTCAATCATCAATCATAATAGATGGGCAAAATTTATGAACAGATGAAAATTAACAAATAAAATGAAGCAGTCTGTTCTATGGGTAAGGTTACTTACTGTCTATTTGATCTGTAAAGGTCGTGTGTGAATTTAGCTGATTTTTTGGATACAGGCACAGCATATGAAGTTTCATAGCAATTAACTGGTAGCTTGACCTTCATTCTGACGACTATTCCACCTAACAGCACAGACACAGCCAACGCCTTACTTGAAGTATACAATTAAATTAAAATCCAAAGAACTGAATTTAAGACAAGTCTCCTAAAATAATTCTTTAGTAGTATAAAGTTTATGAATGAATGTTTCATACTTGTCTAGGTTTTGAATCTGGTCAGTTCCAGAACCTCGAAGGGTGTAGAGTCGGCCATCACCTGAGACCAGTCCAGCCTGTGCTCTCGCATCAGGTAGGCCAGATGACTGCCCAGTCCCCTGGATCCATTGGATGCCATTATCTGCATACAGGAACTCAACATATGAGTCTGATCCATCACTTGCTATTACCACTTGGAAAGTATTTACCTGCAGAAATGTATTCTCGCATTATAAATATCCAGTCTTGAAGCAGCAAATGAACAGATGTTCAGTATTTTTCCATTAACCTTTATCCATCACACTGTCAAGCATGTTCCAGCTGCATGTGTCACCCTAGTGTACCAGTAAAGTAGTCATTATTTAGAATAATTTTATGGCAATTCTGGCACTTTAATTTTATTCACTGCTCTATAAAATATTAATTTATGTTTTCCAGCTGAGATTTATTTATAATTATCAACCCTATGAAGGTCACTGTCACCAAGAAATTGTCAAGTACTGGTTACGCATTCAATTATCATAAGTGAGTGAGTCAATATGGTATAAATTTTAATGACTTATATCATCTATTAAGTGTCGGAGGAAGAAGACCAGTTGGAAGACCCAGGAACAGATGGGAGGATGCAGTTCAAATGGATGCCACACTGCTCCTGAGGATTAGAAATTGGAAGAAGGCAGCGGAGGATAGGACTAAATGGAAGAAGAGAATTGAGGAGGCCATGGACCGAATACAGACCGGAGAGCCGTAGAAAAAGAAGAAGATATCATCTATTTAAAATTGACTTTTAAAAGTATACTGAAACGAATTTGGTTTTGATTATGAAATTTTGGTCAAATTTTGTAGAGATAACTATTATATGGTTATCCTATTCAGTCTATACATAACAACTGTCTTCCATCCCTGATGTGACTCTAAAATGTAAATAATAATGTATGCTATTGTTATGGGTTACTTTTATATTAGAGACATTATACTCATAAAATTGTTATGGAATGCTGCCAATTTGATCAGACCTGTGAATGAAGAAAATTAAGTTTATTGATCACTGCAAAGGAGATATACTTCAGACAGAAATTACAGAAGCTAACCATCACATTCATATTTCAGTCACCAGAGGCAGTATCTTGTTAGTTTCCAATCAATTTATTCTTGTTACTGGTTCAATCAAAATTCTAGAAGAAAAATACCTTATCGGCACCCTGATTATGGTACCCAACATCCTTCCAAGTGGCTATGAACAAACTTGTGGCTTCGAAGTAAGCTGCATAACTGAAGGCTTGATGAATTGATTCCGTTGCCCTTTGTAACAATGAAGCATCCTGAGTTTCTCTGGAAAAGAAAAGTATTGCATGCCAAGTAGTCTCGGCATGTGAAGATAATGGATTGACCAAGGGCTTTAGAAATAAAATTTAAAGGATAAAGAGCAATGGAATGGCCCAGAACACAATGATTTAGTCACACACCAGCAGACATTAGAAGAGAGGAAACAGCTGGCTATAAATTAAAAAGTAAATGTAATGTAACTTATTAAAAATGGGCTCACACCAGCAAAGTATATTTTATTTTTCATTTTCATTTTGGTACTTGGAAGTAGGAGCAAGCATGTATCAATATCAATACACTCATGTATCGCCTGTATCATTTGATATTTTCTGTGTTGATAAAATTGGGCTTGGATAATTGGCCAATATTTAACAAGGGACTTGTGGAAGCCCCTACGAGCCCCCTGCAGCATCCCCTTGGTTGTGAAAAGAAGAGAAAAGAGACTTCTTCATCAACCTATACATAATGGTAACAATGCCAGTACGAGAAGAGCCCTATTAAAATATGACAAAAAACCCACTCATTTATTACTAAGAGTTTTTCACACAAAAACATTCCAAACTGTAGTGCAAGGATTCAGGAGTCCAAAAGATGTAATTCATGATTTGCACGAACAATGCCTGTTAGACTTTGGATGGCAGATTTTAATTGGGCTCCGCACAATGGTCATATTTCATTTGCTACTTATCAAAAGTAAATACCTGTAGTAGACAGTACCACTGCCCCTAGTGTCTACATTTGTGTACAGAGGCGCGATGACTGGGTAGTCTAAAGGAAACTGTATGTTAAAGAAGCTCGGAATCTCTGTCAGGAATGACAGCAAACCATTAGAATTCACCTGCAGAAAGAAAAATCACAATGTAATAATCTGATATCTTATTACTCTAAATGTGTTATTTTGTCAGCCATAATACAAATTTAACGTCCTAGACAAAACAGCTGAATATCAAATTAACTGGATGAAAGAAGATACGCGATAAGACTTTGCCAGTACACACCAACAGGTAGGAGAAGAAGAGGTGCATCGCACAAATGAGGTAAGGGCCAATTCTGAGTTAAACACCCAGAAGACAGAAATCTTCAAGACAAGTACTTGATGATGATGATAGTCATTGAACAAATGAGGTTCAACTCTCGGCAGAGGCAAGAGACTTTTCTCAGACCAGCCTTGAGGCCCATCCAGCCTGTTACCTAAAATATACAGAATGCCACTTTACAGCCAGTGCTGAGATCAAGAAAGGGTACAGCCACACATTCACAGACTTACACATCTTCAGAGTGAAGCGCTTAATGTGCATCAGGGACAACTTCGCCTCTTATTAGATGATAAGATTACTAGAGAGTCTACACACGTAGGAACTTTGCAGTCGTTAGCAAATCAGAACAATGAACAGTGTTACACTGTACAGTAACAATGTTAGTGTTTAATTATTCCAGCAGCATTCTTTCTCTATTAGATTCACAGACAGGGCAGCTTCACTCCTACCAGTTTCCAGTAATTAATTTATTGGTAAGTACACGCCAATCTTTCAACTGTAGAGTGTAGGGCTAAAAAATTATAGACCAGTGGCAAACAGAAAATTTTAGATGCCAACTAATTCCTGCTTGACATTTGAGAGTTAGTTTACAGATGTGCAGATGCAGTTCAATTAAATGTGGCTCACCTGCTTCCAGAATATTAGCACCTGAATTATTTTCTTTTGGCCTGTCAAACCAGCTCAACATCCCAGATTTTCTGAATGGGCTAATTCCTCCTCAAATTGATATTTTTTCTGGTGACCCAAATATCTGCCTGACTATCATGTTTTCAAAAATATTTTGAACCCTGGGAGAAGGCATGGGATGAAAGGACAATTATGAATCATAAACTAGAAGGGATGTGGGATCACGCACAGGTCCAAATCAGTAGGGGCACAGATGATATGGTGTAAGGGGCTCAGCCATGACCAAGCCCCAAGCTTGGGAAACCTTTATCTGCCTTCAGGCAGCTCAAATTTAACTGTAAATTAGCAAAATCAAATATTTGATCTGAATGACTCTTTATGTGTGCTCAAAATTGTTCATAATTGCGCCAATGTTGCCACAGTAGTTAAACAAATAAATCTCTTCAAAACCAGAGCATTAACAATGTAATCTATTGGACTGACCTTGACACATTTGAACCCTATGGGCATTTGAGATAACCTCTATAAAAGACCTTAATGAAAACAGGAAGATAAGCTAAGTACAAGTCTAGCCTTGTTTATCGAGTGCATTAATTTGTAAATAATTCATTCTGTGATTACATTCAAAGGAGAATATCACAAATGAGTAATCTGCTAAGTTACAACACACACAGAAACCAAATTTTAAGTGAAATAAGCATACAAGAAGGTCTAATATTGAGTGCATGGCATCAATGTTACTACCAGTATTCACAACACTAGTTGGATGTTAACAAACCTCTATGGTGCTCAACGTGGAAATCCCATTTTTATTTCTAGTCTGCTTTAACCCCAAACAGTTTATTTTAGAAACAATATGTTCGTGTAAAGGTTTCTGGTGAAACGTATACTTAGAATTCAGAAGATCATGTACTACGCGTACACAGCGTATTCAACAGTAAGATCTTCTACCTACACTCCATTTCTGGGATAAATCTGGGAATATATTCCACTTAAGGAAACATGTCTGTGACAAAAAACTTTGACTTTGTTCGCCACTGACATATATGAAAATGTGAAATTCATTGAACATTTACATAATATCAGGTATAATACCTGTGACTAACAACGAGCACAAATTTCTGTAACTTTTGGAAAACCAAAAGTTACAACCTTTTAATTATTGTCTACGTCCTCGCTTGGATCACAATAGGTACTGGAAACTTTTAATTATTGTCTACGTCCTCGCTTCCATCACAATAGGTACTGGAAGACTAGCCCATTCATATTAGGTTAGGTTAGGTTAGGTTGGGTTAGGTTAGCTTAGCTTAGCTTAGGTTAGGTCGAAGGAGTTACTGGTGCTCTGTCTGTCCAATGTGTCTGCCTTGAACTGAAGGAGTTTCCTTCATGCCTTGATTCATGGGAAGATATGGATTCTCAGTTGGCACCATCATTGAGTCTAATACTGTTGCTTCTTGCAATAATGCTGAGGCAGACGGAAGAGAATCTGCAAAGATGGCGACATGACAATTTGAAGAGGTACAGCACTACATTGTCAACTATATGAAAAATTAAAAATCTTGTACGACTGTCGATTGAATGAACAGATTCCTGGTGATTCAAATGCAGCAGTTCAGGTTTGCACTGACGCACTCTCATTTACGATCACCAAAATATCATCCCAGACTGAAGTGGCCTTCCTGTATTTATGCATAAGTAGCCTTTTATTAGCTTAAAAATCAGGCCTGATACCGTCGTTAAACAAATGAATAAAATAAAATAAAATAAATGTTTAGTTTCACACCAGGGCACCGGCACTGCCAATCAAAGAGCACTTTTAAATCATCGTACGCTGTTAAACGATCACTGAGATTCAAAAGTGGCGTACGTTATTACAGTTTGAGCCGAATAATCGAGAAACAAAGGAATATCAGTTGAACTCTAAAAGTTCCCTTAGGATTGACTGTATTACCTACTTGTGTCCTGAAGTAACTTAGTTGATGTCAAAAGAAGTTAACTCCAAGATTTTCCTTCTATGAATCACAACGCGAAATATGGACTATTCCGAAAATAACGAGCTCCATGGAAAATATTTCGTCTTGAGGGACTAGTCAAGAAATTTCCCGTCTTTTACGTTACCCTAAGGTTCATTACCAAGTTTTCAAGGCATCCCTGAGCCAGGCGTATCTAATTCAAATTTCCCAAACATTAATTTTAATATTACCCTCCCATCTACGTCTAGGTTTTCCTAGTGGTTTTTTCCCTTCAGACTTGCCAACCCCCGCCCATCCGACAGTCCATGGCGTCATGCAACTTGCATTTCTAGAGCTTCGATATTCCCCGTAGTAAAGGAGACCATGAAAATGATTTCGCTTTGAGCCTGTCTTGCACGAAGGACTTCAAAGCGACTGATTTAGAACTGCGGGGGCGGTCTCCTCCCTCACTTCGGTCTGTGCCGGCCCGACACTGTTCCTAATTAAAGAGGATCAGGCATTTGGTTGCAAGCGGGGAAGTTCTTTGTCACATGCGACAACTCCAGACGAGGCATTGAGGGCTGAACTCTGCGGAGCTGGGAACGGGGGTGTTGGACTGAGGACGTGGGAAAATCAGAGCGTTCGGGGAATTATGATCTCTGAAGCACCACCAGGCCAGAATCTTCCTTTTATCTGCCTAATAAAAAAATTCGCCTGTCAAAAATGCTGTAAATTAAGGGTGTTTCGGAGGAATATTTAGTAGCAAAACAGACGAAATACACAATTTATAATCGCGACCATTTATTTTTCGTTCGTCGAATTAAACAGGTCGAGCAGCGTGAGAAATTCATGAAATGAGTTACATGGACGAGACAACTTGGAAAATAATGGAATTTCGAAGTTATTTATTATTTACCATCGCCAAGTGAATCTTGCACTAAGTGACAGCTCTGGACTCCTTTACGTCTCGAGTGCAAGGCGAGGCGTTATCCGCTTTCATTAATGAGACAGGCGTTTTTGAGGCGAATACTTGTGACACCGGAAGAATCTTCCCCGCTGTGGTGCGTGTTCCGCGACTGCGATCCGCCACACACAATGTGAGAATCTTCCCCGCTGTGGTGCGTGTTCCACGACTGCGATCCGCCTCACACAATGTGCTCTGTTTCTACGTATCCAGCATCTTCGACATTTCAGAGTTTTCTTTCTTCAAGTCACGTTTTCGGTAAATTCGCTCACTTATTATAACTTCTACTAAACTCTCTGGTATCAAAGGACGAAAAAATCAAATACCGGCAATAGCAAACATCTCGGCTTTACCGGGTCCTGTTTCCAGTCTGTTATCCTCCCACCTGCTCGTTCTTACAGTGGCCGCGTTCCTGAAGGTGTTGTTGCTGACATTATCACCGCTCTGTGATAGGTCAGTCTGACGGTGACGAATTCCTGCACCGGTAACGTTCGTCCTCCTCAATCCCGTCTCGATTTTGGGCACGAAATTGCCTAGCCGGAAGTTGACATCTCATCCGAACAAACAAGGAGACGGTATCAGTGTGGCAAAGAGATGAATGGCGAACTTCACCACCTTCAAGGGCTGCAAGCCACGTGCGTGCCTGACAGGGGATAAACTCAACAGCTGGTTCAGTCGAAATGGTGAAGGCACAGCGTAGTTGATTGGTTCGCTGTTTGGGGTCTAAGCAGCTTAAAACCCACATGAGGTCGCCAGCCACACATCGCGAAGAGACGTCAGGAAAACCTGACAGCATTTGACACAGATGCATATCAACACTGATGGTCAAAGGACGACTGGGGACTGTGCCAGGAAGTCTCCGGGTTCGATTCTGGAGATATGATATTCTGTCCTACAGTTTTCGTGATTTTCCTCAGTAAGCCTTTTGGCAAATTCTGGAATTTTGCCTAAAACAGATTAGAACCGTTTCCTTCCAAGTCATCAAATTCTGGAATTTTGCCTAAAACAGACTAGAACCGTTTCCTTCCAATTCAGTGCTCAAAGTAATTACGTCACCCTGAACAACTGAAAAGTAATAACAACACTTCATAAATCTCTCTTTCGCTCGATTATGAAAACAACAAATTCATAAAAAATTTAGACCGAGACAGGAGACTACCCACCACGCTTTGAGAAATATGTTGTAAAGACACGAATTAGATTTAATCAGATTGAATCCAGTCATGATGAACCATCACGTGTTTGTCATGTAGGAGGGTAATTTCAAAACAAAGAGGCCACACGAAGCTCTGTACCTCACGCCCCTGTCTTGCACCTCCCGTGTCTTCTGAATTACAATAAAGAATTTGGTTTATGAACATCGAAGACGTAGAATTATAATACGAGTTAAATTTCGTCCTGTGTTATCGCGTATTACAACGAATACTTTAAAGTTTGCTAAGAAGAGGGTGCAGTCAAGCACTGACAGAGACGTGGACGTGCTTGCCCCTTCAACAGCGCCATCATGCCTTCTGTGTGGTCCACAGACAGTCGGATGCTGTCGAATTAGAAACTGGGCGTGCGAGCACAGAACAGATGAAATACGAGAAGCGTGCAGAAAAGTGCGTGACAGTGAGCGTCACACAGCACAATCACGAGGGTGATGAAATCAAGGAGGACAAGATGTACGGGACGTGTAGCACGCATGAGTTAGATGAGTAATGCGTTCACCGTTCTAGTCGGAAAAAAAGGGAAGAAGCCACTTGAGACAACTGGCAATGAATCGCGTGTGAGGGTGCGAACTGCAGTCCAGTGACACGGAACCTCGCGGGCGATTTCACAGGGCCAGATATTGAACATTGCTGGCAGCGAATCTTTGGTCCCACACGGACAATATCGGACCGAGTGATGGCGCTGTTTGGATTTACAACTGAGCCTACTGCCAGGAGAGAAATACACGACACGTGACATTAAAAGTGGTTCGAACTTACATATATGGTGTTGTACGTCTCGCCGTAGAACACGATCGGTACTTGGAGCGTTATCTCAGGACTAGAAGCTTCATCCTGGTCGCGAGGTAGCAGCTGGTCGTTTCGGAACCCGCTGGGGTACAGCAATTCCCGCGGGATGGCACAACACAGAGACACGCACAACGCAACACAGAGCGAAATCACGAGAGGCATCTTCTGGGCTCCCCACACGCGCCTTCTGCACAGTCAACTGTCTCCAGACTCCGCTCCACCCACCACACAGAGCGCTCGCTCTGCTGGGGCACTGGCGCGCAAGTGATGGATGTAGTCCGCACTCACTCGCCATTCGTTTGAGCGCCCTGACCAGATTGAAAGCAGAATGAATTCGGGAAGTTCTGACTTCCGGTTTCCCATCTGAAGACGTAAACGGCATGTTCGCTCTTGCATCTTACACGGGCGTCGGACTCCGTCTCTCGCCAAATTGAATAACAAATATCGATGGCATCTGGGAGCAAAGTGCTGAGAATAATATCAGTACTTGAGGAATGAGAAGAGCAGAGAAATTTCCGCAATGAGGAACTTCACAATTCTTAGTATTCGCCAAATAATATTACAGAAATTAATTCAGCGAGGTTGAGATGGGTGTGACGTGTAGAAAGAGCGGCAAATTAAAAAAAAATGTTGGCCGAGAAACTTGAAAGAAAGAGACTACTTGCAAGACCTAGTCGTAGATGAGGGGACAGCATGAAAATAAAAAAAGTCTCCATAAATAGGGTATGATCTGGATTCTGTAAGCTCAGAGTTCGGTCCTGTGACGACGGTAATGAACCTTCAGGCTCTGTCACAAAATGTCTTAACGAGCTGAGCAACTGGCAGCGTTTCAGGCAATCTCCTGCGCCACCGAGTTACTCCGCGTGACCCGAAGATTCATCACCCTGTTCACAAAAGCCCGCCTCCAGTCCACACAATTTCTAAGACCTTTTTAAACGTTACCCTGTTATCTATTCCCAGGTTATTCGACCTCTCTATTTCCGACGCCTGAACAAAGCAGCTACGGATAAAACTGCATATGAAATTGGATTTTGGTTAAAATTGGCCAACTCTAATGCAGCTTACAAGGTCGTCGCATATGAAATTGGATTTTGGTTAAAATTCGCCAACTCTAACGCAGCTTACAAGGTCGTCTGAATATAATCTTGCAAAAAGCCCTGAACTAATGCCGTGACTCTAATCATTGCCCTTCTAATGTCTGCATCCACTGTTTGATCCCTTTTCGCGCATGGTCTCTTACTGTTACCACAAAACCGTCACTAACCACATTTCTGATAAGTAGGTCTGCAGTGTTAAAGTTGAGACAGGTCACTACAATAACAAGTCAATTCTGTGTAATTACATCATGTTCTTTGTACATGTAAGTGTAATTAATATCTGTAACTCGGAGTCTGAGTAATATCCACGCTGTAAAGTATTTCCTTAAGTGCCTTGACGTCTTCTCTGAAACCTTAATATTTATAAATTCCAACAAAATAAAACAGTATAACAAATTCTTCTCGGGCTACCACGCCTTTTAAGGTGGCTTAATGAAGAAAAGACCAATGTTTCGAGAACCATCTTCGTCCTCAGGGTACTGTAGTTGTATGAGTTCCAGGAGATGGATCTTTATTATACTTAGTCGCCGTGAAAGCTTCAGATCGTACAAAATAAAACAGTTTCTTGGAAAAAGACAGCTGAAGAGTCCTGTATATGTTTCATCGTCTCTGACATCTTGAGAAGGTTACGCTTTGAATCCGAACGAGAGAGAGAGAGAGAGAGAGAGAGAGTCTAGATGAAATTTGGGGGATTGGGAACAGCGAAAAACACCGCTTTTTAACTGGAGTGGGGGTGAGCATACATTTTCATTTGCAGCTACGGAGGTCCCCAGGCAGTGCCAGTTTGTCCACCCGGTAGAAGCAGGGTCTTCTCACTGCGTTCGTGCAGTTTTGAATTTCGATATTCGTCTTGGGAGGACGGCGAGTGCCTGAGATAAGCCTCGGTTCTGTTACACCGTTACCTGGCGTTAATCTGAGAAACAGTGGAAAGACATTTACTCCTCGCCACCTCGTTCGAACGCTCCAGACAACGGGATATCGCGAATCAGCAAGAAGACCAAGTATCTGACTGACGTTTACCCGGTTTTCCTCAGGAATTTAGTGAATAATCTGGGGCAGGACGACGTCGGCCTATTGGCTCCACATACGCTCAGACACACGTCTGGACTGGCTAGTCACATTCCACTTTTAATTTATGATCGGCTCTGTATTAATGTTATCCACTGATACAGTTTCGTCAAAAGCAAGAGACAGCCTGGCTGCAGTACGACGGCATCTGAATGCTTGTCCACCCGCCAGGAGGAGACACTCGCTGCACTGCTGCTTCTCCTAGGTCCAGGACATCTTCAGGACTGCGGCCCGTGGTATGACGTCACACAGGGCATGATACCCCAGACAGTGATGGGGCCAGCTTCGCTGAATTACTTGCCATAAAACTGAGGGGGAACTTTATTTATTTAGCGGTCTTCTGAGTTGTTTCGCCGTGAAGTCTTCTGGTATCAAGACAGCGTCTCCGAAGAACATGATTCCCCTATCTTCAGGGTGAAAGCAGAATGAACCCAGAGTACCACCATCGAAACTCGTGTGTGTCTTGGTTTTATAGATCCAGAACGGACAGACTGGTTTGCGTCAAACTTTGCACGATATTCCTTGAAGCCAGGAAGAGATTTCGGAAGATCGAAACTCAGAAGAACATTTTTATTAGACTCACTAGCTTATTTGGTAATCCAAATTCAATGACAATATTATATAGCACTTCTCTCTTAACCGAGTTATAGGATTTTTTGAAATCTGTAAATAACTGATGTACGGTCCCACCGAACTCTCTCTTTTTCTCTAGTATCTGACGAATTCAAAAGATCTGATCAATTGTTAATCTGTTTCGTCTGAACCCACACTGAAGATCCCCATTTATTTCATTCACATATGGAGTTAATCTCGCCAAAAACTAATAAAATAAAAATTATACATCTCAAAGGCATCCATATTTTACGTCATTAGGCAATATTTTGTACGATGCGCCGATTTTCAGTAAAACACAAAGTCAGAATTGAAGGTCGAGAAAAGTTGGTGTTATAAAAACCTGAACCATTGAAAACTAAATTTCCATTTCTCAATTCCGTGCCCAAACTGGTCAGCACCAAATGTAATGCAAAACCGTTGAACAATTTTGGAGATGAAATGTGGGCGGAACGAGCAAAGTCAAGGCACTCATCATTATGCGTTCATTTTATGTGCTTTATGCAAGGGTATTATAATTTAAACACAGACTCCGCATAGCGAAATTTTCAACACGGGCCACGGTAATTCTTATCGGAACCCCTTCAAGCGAACTCTGAAGAAATGCCACTCTTGATGTGAACTGTGTGTTTGTCTTTCTTTGACATTAGCTGTACCGGAGTTCAGAGTCCATGGCTGCAAGCTACTTTTGTAAACGGGGAGGGAATCTCGTACATCTTCCAACGTTGCCATCTCTCAGTTTCCTCAGCCTGTAGAAAAAAAATAATCCTACGACTTCTGATGCTATTTTTGAGGGCGATTATTCCCTCTGAGCTCCCTACCCTATCAACAGAGTCGCATATTTCCCGAGATTCTTTTTATTCCAGTCTCCTCCATGAGTTTTTACTCGTCTTGTTTTCGTCTTTGAAATAATTGACCAACTACAGCCTGTACAAGAAAACGTCAACACTTTCTAAGTGCCCAGAAACTGTGTGTGAACATCCACTCAGTTCACTGAAGAATTAAAAAGAAAATATTTATTCTACAGATACCAAACTGAACTACAAGCCGTTAGGTAACCTAATGTCTTTTTTCTGTAATTTAATATTCTTGTGGCGCCATAACTCAGAAGAACAACATTACCATAATGCCTTCTTTGTTTCTGTAAGAACTCGGCGTGGTTTTATAACTTCTAATTAAATATAACAGTTGGGATTTACGTAATCAACATACTCGGAGCAGGAGAGACGACGTTACGATGGCATTGCCGAGTCTACGGAATCAAGAAGTAGGAGTTTGGGGGATCCTCCAATGGCATGACCTCCGTACCAAACGTCATGTAAAATCCTTCAGTCGTTCTGGACAAGGAGATCAGAACTGATGCCGTCATAAGTCGTTGCGAGGAATCTTGGGTAATGGCATCACGCTGGATCCATCCTCCCAGCTCACACATTTAAACGTTCGTCACGTTCTACTACCGACTTCAGGAAATTAACTACCACGCATATGGACTGGCCTCAAATGCAATATTCCACATGTCAAATTGTATGCAAATCCGTTCAGTCGTTCCCGATTTATTGCGTGACAGAATGTGATCTTGAAGACCACTGATGTACCCGATCTGGGGAAAAACTCGCGACATGCAGACGAAAAAGTAAATTTTTTTTAAAAAAAAACATGGAAAGGGTTGAAATATGAACGAAAATATAATCGATTTACCACGGAGGTATCGATCGTTTCAGTTAATCTGGATTCACTCTTTCACAGTTGGCGTCAGGAGCCACCTCCCTAAGGACAATATTCGCTGGCGATGCGCACTCAGCTTCTGTGATGGAACACGTGGTCACCGAGTTGCGGGGGGGGGGGGGGGGGGAGACCTGAATAAGACACATAATTAGTGAACACGAACGAAGTTTATTACTTGCGTGATATTCTGTACAAGATCTGAAGTCATCAGATGATTATTAACAGTTCGGAGGAATGTGATAACGATTCACTGCTTGTGTGCTGTTTTATTTCAGAAGTTCGTGAACCACAATTCAGTACAGCCTGGGGTTAATTATCTTTCGTATGGAATTTTTCCCTTCGTGTTCCATAAAAACCTGTCGATAATTCAGATTAGTTAATACAGTGAGAAAAAGTGTATCAACATCATAAAGTGAATTACATGTGGTAAAATTATTGGTGTCCCATGTAGCGAATTCAGGATCAGTCCTTAAGCTGAAATTTCTAGCTGCTGGAAATTGCAGAACTTTGGTTTTATATGAATGCACATTATTTCTGTAAAAAAATTAATACAGACACCAGTTAACTGTGCTGTTGTACGAAATATCGCCAACTCAGTATTATTGCATTTCGGAGATCTGGCAAATGTTGAAGCCAGCGTAATTTGTGTTGAATTGTTAGTGGCGTAGCGTACAAAAATTAAAATAAAAAAAACTGATTAATATTTTGAAGGGATGTTCACAGTGCGCAAACTAGCCTTTTACTTGTTTCATTTCTATTTCAAGACTTGTCTTTGACAAATTTGTAATTTCTTGCAACATCCTTGTGTACATTACGTCATTTAAATTTATCAACATACATCAATAATTTAATCTTCTTTTATTTCAGCTAATGTTATCTGTTTAAATGAACTTAATATAATATCCAGAACTTCAAATTGCACGTCACAATATTTAAAATCTGTATCTGTATTTCAAACATAAGAGAACAGTTTCAACAAGGAAAGGCCCAATTCGTGTCGAGGAGGTGTGTTGATACCTAACCCACTGAGGAACAGTTCATTTCAGCAATGGGTTGTTGCTCTCTGCTGCACCTAACGGAGGACAACGCGAGGTTCCTTCTGTTGGCCATCGTCCTCGTCCTCTACATGTTGGCCGGCGCTACCTTATTTCAGTACCTCGAGGGCGAGGAAGAACTCAGAATGGTTCGTGAATTCTGGCGAATCTACTCAGATTTCCGTCGTCACTATGTGTTCCTGTTGACACAAGTTGGAAACAACACAGGTGTCCATGGCAACGAAGTCAACTGCACGTCGGGCGAGGACACTAACGAGGAGCGAATTTCGTCCCAGGGCGCAAACCAGAGTGCACTGGACATGGACAAAGTTCACCAGCTGCTCTACGCGTACGGCAATGCTACTTCTGCGGGTATTATACACAAGAGGAGGAGGTGGGACTTCGCTGGAAGCTTCCACTTCGTGGGCACCATCGTCTCAACAATAGGTGAGCATATTTATGCGCTTAATTAAGTGGCGATGTTGATCTTAACGTGTACGTGAATAATATCAATCGCTTCTAAATTTGTGTTTCTCTGAAGCTTCAATGACGAGTTTTGTTTCTTGGTTTAGGTCCTACAGACCTTGTCTAACCCTTTAAAGCCTTGTGGTACATATCTGTCCCACCTGCTTGACAATACGAAAGTCTGCGTATTTTATGTTAACAAAATGATCTTAGAAACGGTGAAGTGCTGTGTTTTCTTTGTGGTACTCGTTCTTGCCCGGGAGATTTCCATTCGCCTAATCATCCGACATGCAGACGCATCGTTAAATTTCACAGAAAAATGGAATACGTAAACACGCGATCACTTATCGTTACAGAATTACCTGCAGCAATTCGTTTAAAAGATATTCGTCATGGCTTTATCCATTCCTTCTGCAAAAATATATGCGCCTTCCTGTCTGTCTGTCAGAAAGTTATTACAACACGGAATTTGTCAGGAAAGGTCAACTCAAAGACTGTTCTGCCATATAATCCTTGCTCTCGTGCAATTAGCAAGGTTAGGTTAGGATACCACAGCTCACAGTGGCGTAACACGCAAACAACATATCATGTACGTCTTCCTGACTGTCTATTACGTATCGCTGAATAGTACAGAAACAATTTTCCCAGAACCCAAAATCTTTACCGAGACTCGAACCTAGGGGAGCTTTCGTTTGTGACCTTAGTTCCTGCAATCTCCGGAGTTTTGACGCTCAAATGACCTCTTCTTAGTCTCAAGAAATAAGTTTGTCAAATTCGGTGCAAATCGATATAAGCATTTGAATAAAAATCTTCTTGGATATTATCCATCGTCTAGTCAATAAAATATAAAACGACGTTTCGGAGATGGGGCTCTATCTCCGTCTTCAGGTTCCTAATCAGTTGGGCCCACTAGATAGAGCTATTCCCTATCTCCGGACCAGACGATGGATAATATCCAAGAAGATTTTTATTCAAATGACTCATCACCATCGTGAAGAACTTTTAGATTTGAGGCATAAAAATTCTTGGGCTCTGAGCGTACGAACGTACAAACCCACATTTCAACTTCACACGTAAGGTTGTTTAGAAGATCTTCGACTTTACAGGATTAAACTGATTCATAATGCATTTTATGGATTAAAGATAAAATTTAATAAGAAGATAAATATCTCAAAAGGCGTAAATGTGTCTCATCGCCACGTTAATTTTTAACTGCACGTAATTTAGTTTAATAAACGGCCCTGTACAATTGTCTTAGTATAAAGATTTTTCACGTCTTTCAGCCAAGCGCCCGCTGTCATAAGAATAAGTTGTTAGGTGATCCTGCACAAGCCAACAAATTCCTGTCTTTGTGATATCCACACTGTCTGGGTTGAGGAATTCGATTAATGCAAGGACAATTTCGATAGAAAGCTCTTGAAAAATTCACTTGGAATGCTAAGAAGGATAACATTAAGACGAAAGTTGAGCAAACATCTACGCTGGCTCAAGATCGTGTCGCTGTGGTAGTATTAACATTTATTTTTTAAGTCTGTTTGCCACAGTTGAGATCGAACCTGTGACCTTTCGCGTAGTAGGATACTGGACCACTAGGACATCTTTCCCAGCCTCCTATTCAAAAGTTCACAATGATCATCACTATTCTATTTGAGCATTTAGGTTATCTTTTAAAAGTTTCTGACACAGTAAAGAAACACATTTAACTTTGGTTATTCTGTTGTCTAAGACGGATTTAATATTAAAATGGCAGGAAAAATGCTACCAGCAGAACACACAACAAAATCTGTCCATCACGATGCACAGACTTTGTAAGAGAGGACGCCTGTGAGCTCTGAAGGTCTGATATTCTTACATCAGAGATTCGGGAGACCATCCTCAGGAGGGCGAGGTTTCAGTGGCATCCAACATGCGCTGTCAGTAAGCGCCCGTGACTGGTTGTAGCTCAAAGCGGTCTGCGAGGTTGGCTGAAGAACTTTTACGGTGAACTAACTTTCTAAAGAGCCACGAGACCAAATCCTTTCTGTTCCCTTCTCGCTGCCATTAGAGTTTAAAAGCTGCTTAGCATTAACTGTAACTGCATTAATTATAAGTACATTAAACTAGTTATTACACTGCCAACTTTGCTATTCAAGATTTTAAGTGTGTCACTGAAATAAGCCTCAGAAAACTTCCTCCACGTTAAGTTTCCTCTCAGGAGCATTCGGAATCCCACAGATGCTTATCAAATTGCTCTGTCTGTCTGTCTGTCTGACCGTACGCTTTAAGCATCTCGAGAACAGAAACACGAATTTTAATTAAACGTGATATTGGTGGATTACGCGAAGTAATGTGCAGCCAATTTAATTTTAGTTTAAATCGAATCATTTTAACGTTAATTTCATATAACAACATGAATGCAGAACCTTAAAAAATGGGGCATTCTACAATAACAACAAGAAAGTAACATGCAGAAAATGGAGAAAGATTGCAGATTTTTTTTAGCGAGGAACGCACAAAGGATAAAACCCTAGGATAAGGACGCATACGACTGAGACCTGCACATGTATCACCCGACAGGTTCAACGAGACTGGAATTTGCATTCCGGACCGCGAAGCCCACACACAGTTTCCAAATGGGCTCGGAATGCTGTAAGCTGACACAGTTGTAACAGCGATGCAAAACGCAAGCACGTCTTTGTAACACAGGAAACCGCTACACTTCCATTTCTCATTTACAAAAACAAACAAAGAAATGCAATAAAATGTACGTACTTCCAACCACCATCGGTGAAGCGTTTCAAACAGACGTTTCAGAAGCTTTTTCTGTGAATTACACTGGATGCTGTTTTATCGGAAAACGGCCGTCAAGAGAACAGCATAGTTCCAGAAAGCTTAAATTTGTTTCCCTGTTAAGAACTATTCATTACATGCAATGCATACAAAATACTGTGCCAAAGAATTCTCTCAACTCGTTCGTTTTAAATGAAAGGCATTTATAAAATGAAATGTCTGTTGTCTTACTTAAACAAGTTCCACTTGTAACTCTACGCTTCTTAAAGTCTTAAAGTAATGCAAATCCTCACTACGTGCAATACAATTCATCCAGCCGCGAGCTAGCGCATCGGATTCTTGCGCGGATAATCACATAATCGAGCCGGAATATATTAACCTTTCGACGCAGACACCAGGTTGTAGACAGATAAAATATGCTGGGCGATGATACTGAGGATAAAAGTAACAAGATATTGGTACATAAAAACAATGTGCCAGCTACTGGCGACTTTGCCTGCGAACCGCAAGGACAGTCCGAGTGGTATCTTTTAGTATACAGATTTTCAAACAAATGCAAGTTCTTAGCAGCAACGAGCAGTCACTTTGCCACAGAGGGACCAGAAATTGAGGCGGTCTTGAATAATATGCCAATTCGAACACTTACAAATAAAACGGGGGATGTCATAGAAAATCACGTAATTGCCCTTAGCCAATATTAATATTATCGCCATCTACATACACGTCTCTTTGTTATACGCAGTATCATGTCACTACATGTTTCGACCTCCGTGCATCATCATCAGGACACTCTATAGCACCTACATACATATTTAAACAATAAATTGTGCATACATAATACAGCAACGCACTTGGAAACTCAAATTAGCTAATAAGAAATGGTCTGATGATGATACACAAACGTCGAAACACGTAGCCGATGATACTTCCTCTTAGTCGAGACCTGAATATAGTAAGAATAACGAATGGATACTGCGAAGACCCAACGGGAATGCTTCAATTTAAGAAATTCGTAAACGGCGATAAAATATATTGCAGCTCATATGACGTCATTAAGTAACCTAGGGATTAATTAATGGCTTACGTCATAAAATCAGGGAGGAAGGGTGGGGCTTGTAGCACGCATGATACAGATAACAAATGCATATAAAAAGTTTTATCACTTTGGCGGCGTAGGCGAAAACGGGAGGATAATATTAAAATAGATATTAAGGAGATGGGGCGACAGACTGCATTGGATTGGGTCAGGATAGAAAATAATTTTTGATGCCAGAAAATTAAACTACGCAATAGATCGATTAGGCTCGCTTGGCTTATTGATGAGAATAACACGTTAAAGTGCGACTTTTCTGAATTGTAAGGCGCTTACTGAAGTGTGTACTCCATGTCAGATTCAGAAATGCAGTCTCAAGGGACGATGGATTATTTAATCGAACGAAGTGGCACAGAAATCGGGTTTTCGACCAACATTCCCGCCAGGAAGCGGAAATAACAGCCAGGACATTCGTTCGTTGACAGTTCCTACAGCGCGTTTACAAAATACGAAGCAAACAGCTCAGTGCCACTTCCGCTCTGTTACAGAGTAAGAAATAAAGCATTAGCATTAATTAAGTATTGTTTAGATATACTTCGTGATTCAAATAATTCGATTTTTAAATAGTATTAAAAATATATTAAAATAGGCCGTCAATCACAATATAATTTACCAGTACGCTCTTTTCAAACCTTCCATTTTGTACATTTGTCATGCCTACAGAGACTTTTCCGTAGAACTCCACAAATCACTAAGAATGTCGTGGTGTAGTGGTATCACTGTGTGGCCACTCGTTCGAACACGGGCTATTCCGATTTAAGGTTTCTAGTGATTTTACTCAGGTCACCCCAGGAAAAATCCGGGTTCCTGTACCGTAGACAGAACACGGAAGCTTCCTCCCGCGCTCCCCCTATATATTTACCACCCGTAGACAGTTGGCATCCCTGAGGAGCGCAAAATATCTCCGTCCCTCCGTCCGCCTCTATCAACTTGAAAACGGCTGAATGGATTTCCATGAAATTTGATATTGATAAGTTTTACTAATAATCTCTGTAGTCACATTCCACTGTACCAGTCATCATACCATCATACAATTTTAATGGAATTCACAATATCCGGCGCCAAGTGTACAATTTTTGCATTATTAGCAACGTTTCATCAAAGCCATAGTTGAGTGATG